ACAAGCAGTTGGCAAGAGCAAATCACATCTTAAAATCTAGCAGGGAAGCAGGTACAGCTCCAGAATACAAGGATTCCCTGTTTTCCTACATCTAAGTTCCATGTCTTTACTTCCTGTTCATCTGACTTCTTGTTCATCTTAATCTTAATTCAAGGTAATGGCCTCAGTGATAGACAGGAAACTAGAGTATAAATGGAAGATTTTGTCATCTCGATCCACCTTTATATTCCATGAATTGCTATTGTTAGTGCAATGCAGTGCATTTGAGCACCTTTGGTTCCAAGGTCAGGCATAGACCACTATCTCTATAGAACAGGCATGTCCAAAGTCTGGCCCGGGGGCCAATTGCGGCCTGTTTTCAAATTTCAAGCGGCCCGCAGCCTCTTCTCCCCGCCAGCTCAGGCTGTAACTCATCCCCGCCGGCCGGCGTTTTTCCCTTCACTGCACAGTGGTTCCCACAGCCGTCCCCTGTTGCCTCCTGCTCCTTCAAGGCTGGTGGTTATATTTCACCAGAAGATGGCAGTAGACCTGAGTCAGCACTCTCGCTGCGTGACCCTTGTGACACGAGGCTTGTGTGCCCATTTCTAAAATGGCAACTGTAACTAAAAAAAGGAAAGTTGACAGCAAGGACCGCCGCTTCCAGGCACAGCAGCGCTTTTTCACAAGAGCCCGTGAGTCAAATGAAAATGCCACAAAGGCAAGCTATGAGGTGGCAACGCTGATTGCCAAGCACTGCAAACCTTTTACTGAGGGTGAATTTATTAAAGACTGTGTGATGAAAATGGTGGAGAAAATTTGTCCTGAGAAGAAGCAAGAGTTTGCCAATGTTTGCCTGGCTCGTAACACTGTGGTACGGAGAATTGAAGACGTTTCATCTGATATTAAGAGACAGTTAGAGGCAAAAGGAGTAGAGTCTGACTTAGCCTGCGATGAAAACACGGATGCATCTGACACCGCTCAGTTATTGATTTTTTTGAGAGGAGTGGACAATGACATGAATGTGAGTGAAAAGCTACTTGACCTCCAGAGCCTTAAGGACCAAACAAGAGGAACAAATTTATCTGTTTCTGTTTGTTCCGCCATAGACGACATGAAACTACCCTGGAATAAAGTCACTGGGATTATTACAGATGGCGCACCTGTCATGGCTGGCGAGCGAAGTGGATTATCAACCCTAGTCTGTAACAAAGTCAGCGAAGAAGGAGGCAAAGCTATAAAACTCCACTGTATTATACACCAAGTTCTCTGTGCCAAACATCTGAAATATGATCATGTTATGAAACCAGTGATGAAGGCTATTAATTATATTCCCTCCAAAGCCCTGTGCCAGCGCCAGTTTCAACAGTTTCTACTCGACATCCAGGCTGAATATGGAGATGTTGTGTATCACAATGAGGTACGATGGCTCAGCTGGGGGTCTGCACTGCAGCGCTTCTACTGTCTTAGGGAGGAAATCAGACCATTCTTGGTAAAAAAGAGACAACCGATGCCAGAGCTATCTGATCCTGTTTGGCTGGCTGATTCTGGATTTTTAGATGACATAACATGACATCTGAAAGTGCTGAACACGAGCCTTCAGGGGCAAAATGCAGTGGTAAGCCAACTGTATCCACATATCAAAGCCTTTGGGACGAAGCTACTGCTTTTCCAAAGGCACCTGTCGCAAATGCAGCCCAACACCACACATTTCCCATCGCTGCAGGAAATAATGACCAGTTTTCCACAGAACAACATGAGTGCGCAAATAAGGAGGTATGAAGCAGACATCTCATCTCTGGCTGAGGAGTTTCAACAGCGCTTTCGGGATTTTGCAGCTATTGAAAAGGAGATCATGCTTTTTTCATCTCCTTTCTCTGTGGACCCTGATGACGCTCCAGACCACCTGCAGCTGGAGCTCATTGAGCTGCAGTGTGACGCCGAGTGTCACAGTCGGCACCAACAGCTCCCTCTTGTCAACTTTTACTGTCAACTGGATAAAGACAGGTTCCAAGAGATTCGAACATTTGCTAAGAAAATGCTGAGCTTGTTTGGTTCAACATACTTGTGCGAGAAGACATTCTCGGTTATGAACATTCACAAGAACCGCGTGAGGACGAGACTAAGTGACTTTCACCTGCGTGACATCTTGCGCATCAAAACCACTGTTTTTGAGTCAGACCTGGCCTATATAATGCAGTCGAGATCTCAGTATCACTCTTCACATTAGTGCAGTTATTTGTTTAGTCTTTCATAAAATAGTTCATTTGCATTTAATGTTAATGGTTCAAAGAATGTCAGGCTGAATGGTTGGTCCCCACACATTTTCACCTCACCAAATCTGGCCCTCCTTGCAAAAAGTTTGGACACCCCTGCTATAGAAGATCATCAAAGATTCAGTAACTGCAGAACCCCTATCTAACAGCATTTTCATATCCACCCAAATTCCTATCCCAGGCTTGATACATGGTATGCTGTTAGCCATGGTGCTGTTGTGAGGCCAGAGCACTCTTCTAATTATTCACACAGATACAGGCAATAAGTTTAAAACCTTTTATTCTAAACAATTTCAAAGATACACAAGTGATAAATAGTATAGGAGCCATTAATGGTAGTTCTAAGCAACACAGTTGCCCCCTCCTTTCTGACCTATCTCAGATTGATGACGCACTCTTAACCCTACGCGAATGTCCCTCCCCACGAGGGTTAAACTCCTCTCCCTCCTTCTTTCACTTTGTCTCTCTTCTAATTGGCTCAAAAGCCTAAGTCTTCTCCTCAGCTGGGCATTCTCCATGGCAACAGCCCGTCCCACAGTCCGCTCAGCAATTCCTGCAGGCTGGACAAACACTTCGTCAGAGTCAGGCGGCAGCAGGGAGGGTGGGTGGGGAACACGCTTGTGCTATGGGCACCAAGTAGAAATCTTCTTGCTCTAAAGCCTGACTCTCACTGGGAATTTCTGTCTCTCTTATGTGTGCTAACGACTCCTCCGAGTTGTTAGGCACAACAGGTAGATAGGTGAGAAGAGCATTGAGGATGTACATATATACAAAGGCCATACAGGCAGCTATATGTCTTTCCCCTCCACACACCCTAGCATATCTAATAGGAACTTCAGGAGTATGCAATTTACACTGGAGAAGTAACATAGGGGACATGGGTTAAACATCCCTCCTCCAACACCACCTCACATCCAACTAGCAGCCTTCCCAACTTCCCTACTGAAATAAAAAGACATCAGGCATGGATCTTCAGCCTGACATGTGTTTTGGCCCTGGATTTAACAAAATGTTTTTAAAAAATCAAGGAACCGCTAATATCCTCCTTCCCTAGTCACAAGAAGCAACCAGTCAAATACTCGGAACACTCAGTTTGAATTGTCTGCATAAAATTTTAGACTGCACTTTCCCATAGATCATGCTTTGATTATGCCTTTTAGTACACAGATGCTTTTAAAGAATACTTCATGATTATCCAAATGTTTAACATATAGGATCTCAGCAGTGTTGTATATGGGACATATCCAAACACAGGTGCTAAGTCGTGGGAGTTTTCTTAATTCTGGGTCACAGAATGGGAAAAATAAGCTTCCAGCCTCCTGTGCCATATTGTTCTAAACTCCAACTCATAGTACTTCGCCACAACAAACAGGCAGTTTTCAATTCTGGTGTTTGAGCTCACACCCAGAAAACAGCTCTGGCCATCTGCTATTCACTGACTCAGTAATGCGTTCCAGCTGGTACCAGTCATCACATATGAGGCTTGCCAATGTTCAACAGTATTCAGCAGAATGTATCATATGAGATATATTGCATCCCAACAGCAAGGGTGCTCCCCACAAAGTCAAACATAAAAGCATAGCGTTCACATTCTTGCAAAAGAAACAAACACACACCAAGCAGGATATTAGATGAAATCTGCTTCGGTCTGTCAACAGCTCACTGGCAGCCACACCATCGACTAAATCTACAACTGCACCATGTGATATAGCATAGCACTGATTCAGATCTCATTACAGCAATGAACTCTCAAGGTAGCCTTAGGCAAGCCATTCTTTTCTTGACTCCAGTAACACAGATTGGTAAAACAGGTAATCAGACCTACTTTACAGGATTGCTGTTAGGCATTAAAATGCCTATGTAGATGCAATGAGCAATTTGAAGAGCACTATACAGATATGAGGCATTATCATCTGCTTGGGCACAGTACATTCTGAAAACATATGTGAGGATATTCTTTGACACAAGGGGAAGTCAGCTTCAAAGATGACACCTTGCCAACTAACTCCTGAGAAATATACAGGCAGCCATGTGTAAATGGGCTAAAATCAACATTCTATGTTCAGAACATCTTGTCCCCATTGTGGGTCTGGCCACTACATTTTACACAAGCACAACCCTGTTAGAATTCTAGGCAGAGAAGCATTAGCAACAAACTCAGGTTCCCATTTGTGAGGATAGGCTGCTTGGTGTGAAGTTCTCCACTTTTATACAAACCATGTTTCCATAGTTTTCCCATCCCCAACATTTCCTCCTACAAGCTAGCCATTCATATGACAGATGCAGTTAGGGAGATACAGACTCATGTCATGTCCTAAGAATTGTGATCTTCATATATAGGTTCCACATACTGGTGGTGTGTGTTATGATCAGGTTACAGTGGAGTTACACTGTAGCCTATGTTCTGTCATGGTAGCTCAGGCAGGGCAGTCACCAATGCAGGGACAATTCTCCCTACTGTTCCCAATGAAGTCAACAAGGTCAAAAATTCCTGCACCATAGACAGAGGAGTGTGCATGAATTGAAGGAATATAGAATGAATGAATGAATGAATGAATGAATGAATGAATTTATTCATTTAGGGGACTTCTATGCCGCCCCATTCGCTGAAGCCTCGAGGTGGCTCACAACCATAAATAAATAGAATCCAATAAAACAATATACATTAACAATATAAATTAAGTCACCCTGGCCAAAGAATAAAATAAATAAATAATATTAACAATTAAAATAAAATTTGAAATTTTATGATATGGCACAAGTGCTATCCCCGTGCTATCCATGTACCAAGTGCTTCCCCGTGCTATCCATGTACCACCCACAATTCTGCTCCATTTCATCCATTTCACTGGTGTCTTTTTTCACAGCACAACAGTTCACCAGCATATCTGAGGTTTCCTGGTGGTGTATCTGTCACAGTGTTCTACAGCATAGCAGTGCATTTGCCAAACCCTCTCGTCCATGAGCCTACAGATCTTAAGGACAGGAATGAACCCTAATTTCCTGTTAACTTTGCTTTTCCATTTGCAAGTTAATATGCAAGCAATATTAAAAAGAGAAACCTTTGTAATAAAGTTAATACACAATTTTATTAGATATTTATTGATAAATGTTATGTATATAATATAGATAATAGACATTATATATTCTGTATAAAATAATATATACAATTTCATTATATTGTGCATTAACTTTAGAGACATAAACACCCATAATTATGAAGCAATACACAGCAATGGACAACATGTCAGCTTCATGAAAACAGAAATTATCCAAAGGATGTCAGGAAATGGATTTTTGTGTCTATGAAATGCTTTTCTGAATGTTGATCAAATATACATATGGGGAAGTTTTGGTGTATTATTTGGAGCATCTATCTGGAGATTCCTCATGAGGTTAAGTATCTGTTCTGATGATAAAATGCTTCTTTTTTACAACAGCACAATTTGTTCCAAGGCCTGGGCATAGTACCATTTCCTAACAATGTGTGTTTTGGGAGGTAAGGAGGAAACATCTGCCCTTCTGGATGACATCACAACAATGACATTCATTATTGGACTGCAAATGTACTAACAGCAGATTTCTCCCAGCCAAGATATGACCCATTGAGAGGGAACACTTAACAATTCAAGGAGAGATTTGGAAACTGCATTTACAGAGAACAAATGAACATTCTTAACCTTTAAAGCTGTTGGTTAACATGCCATTTTGATTAAGGCACCACGCTTGATATATGCTCATTCATCTACAAATTTGCACCCACCATGATTGAACATTCCCATATGCCCTCTGAAATATATGCCACAACTAGTACAGGCAATGGGAAATGAGTCAGAGCAGAAGGGCACATGGTTAGCCCCACATTCCAGCCTGCCTTGCCACTTGGCTCTGCTCTTGGCTGACTTTATCTACAAGTGAAACCACACCAAAGCATGGGAGTATCCTTAATATTTGGCAACTTATACTTGAAACACACTTCCTAAAGAGACTAGTTTTGTAACTACAGTTCATGACAGTGCTGCAGCACTCCTGTTAACTTCCCAAATGCTGTTTTCTTTCTGTCTCTTCAGGACTTTCTGCATGAGCAACTAACATAGCTAACCACTTCAATTTTGGCAGCAACATCACAAAGAGGTGATATTAAAGAAGAGAAGAGAAACTGGGTTTGTAATTTAAAATGTCCTTCCAAAGGTGAAGGAAGTAAGATCACTCATATATTTGCTTACAATTATGGTTCAATAGATTGAAGCAGAGGTTTATCTGGGTCATCAAGCAAGACAATAATCACAGGAAGCATAACAAGTACTGAAACACTACTAGGAGGAAAAGCCTAGTGCACTACTTCTGAGTGAAAAGGAATAGTATGGAAATGACCCAAGTTTTAAGAAGGCTTCTCTGTCAAAATTCACTGTACTGCATCGATGCTTTTGTGCACCTGCCAAATTAGATATGGAAAAAGATACTTGGAATTCAACACTGACATTGATTCTTCCAATAATAGCTGTGTATCAAATTGTTCATAAAGAAAGTGCTGTAACAGCACACAACCTATAGATCAGTCTGTGCTATATATAGTCAGAACTGGTCCGTCACACTGTCCTCACGACACCCAGAAATTTCAAGACTTCTGTAAGTCTCCTTATGTAATAGAAGTCTATTATGTTTCCTTTGAACATACTTAATCCTTGAAGAAACTTAGAACAAGATACCACGTAGTTTTTAAAATCTAATACTGATCCTTACACTTCTGACTACTTTTGTGGCTTTTGTAAATGCAAAATATGTATATTCTTATACATATTCTGTAATTCTGGTACAATTCAGGAAAGCTAATTTTTGCATGCATGTATCTGCAATGCGAGACAGTAATCCTTGTTTAAAGAAACTGGTGTCATGAAAACGAGTTATTATTTTTAAAAGGTTTAATCCAACACACATTAATCCAGACTCTATATTACAGCTATTCAATATAATATATGCTTAAGAATCTTGCAGCAAAACTGCAATGAACTGAATATAAAATAGAAGTTTATGTACATGCCATTAGATCAATTATGTACAAGCCTCCATAGTATTTGTCACCACAGTACAAAAAACTATTTTGTCCTCCTCAAGCAACATTACCTCTCCCATAACAGCATTCTGCAAAAGGTCATCTAGATTATGAGCATTCATTTCAAAAGAACATCCTACCAAGGCACAACCCTCCATTTTAGGAAGCATCCGTCCTCAGTTCCTTCTCCATCTACTTCCATGTAAGGGGTCCTGATTTTCCAGTGTCCCTGCCTCGGTTTCCCTTAAACCCAACGGGTTGTCCAGAACGACTGCGCAAATCACGATCTGGCACTTCACTTTGTGCCATCTCTTCATCATATCTTAAGAAAGACAGGCAGATGTTAGAGTCACACATGGATCAAAGAAAGGGCTGCATAATCCCTAGAATCAGGTGGCACATCTTGTAACAGATTAAGGGCACATTGCAACTGAGAGGAGCAGGAGTCCCTCTGAACTCAGGAGCTCACACTCCTCCAATGCAAAGCAGGAGTAGGAGTGGAAGCGATCTTTACCTTTCCTTTCCTCCCATTCCATATTTTTGCTAAACAGTTATTTTTGGCCAAATGTTGTTTCAAAGTGGGAAGGAAGAAGGCTGAAGACTACCCCTCAAGTCAATTTGAGGCATATGACAAGAGTGTGTTACTCATTACATGCAACATCACAGGCACCGACAGTTCCCTGCAAATTGTACTTTACATAGAATAGAATCATAGAATAGTGGAGTTGGAAGTGAGCTATAAGGTAATTGAGCCCAACTCCATGTTGGATTCTTGTTCTGTATTGCAAGATACAAAAGAAATGCTATTAGGGTGTGAATACATGGTAGGGAAATACTGTTCTTAAATCTACTTTTTATTAGAAACATGTTAACAGTTGGAGAAATGTAGTTTTCCTGCAACAGAAGTGCTACTTTTGGAGTGGGGGGAGAATTTTCAGTACCCATGTACATCTTTATACACCTGAGTACCAACTGGCCATTTATTCTGCAAAATAAAATAATTCAGAGCACAATCCTATCTATAGATGGAGGGAAAGTCCTATGCTGGTTGGGGAATACTAGAAGTTGTAGAATATTTTTTCACCTAAACATTTGTATGATAACACCCTTAGTATCTCAGAATATTATAGGAAGCTCCACAGATATTGTTCTCTGAAGCTGCCATCAGAATCGAAGGCCCTTTGTACACTGTATTTGCTTTGGCTAACTATATGAAGTAGTGCTGAACCATCACAAGACCAGGAAACATCAAGCTTTCTGTCACAAGGTAATTCTAGTAAGTCCACTTGTGCTGGGGCAAACTGCTGTTTATCTACCTTTTAATACTCACAAAATTTCATAATTTCCAAGAGCTTCCTTGGGGGGTGTTTTATTCCACTTACAGTCTGGAATTTCTCCATTCGGCACAGCAATGTTAAGCGTGTCATTAATAAGATTATATTTAAGTATGCGGTCATTGGCAGTACTGGATGTAAGAGAAGGAGAAGCATTGACCTGTGCAGCATGCAGAGGAAGGAGAAATGTAGTTAGTTCATATCCACTATTTACTCTACAAACTAAAAGCTGATTCATGAAACAAAACCGGACAGCAGCTCAGTGATTTTGTGATTTCAAGCAATACGCATATTACCCATTTTGCTTATTGGGATAACAATATTTAACATGAAAATCATTGCCAAATTAAGAGCCTATACTTTAGAGCAAATAAGGTATTTATATTTCTAGCATAGTCTCTTAGGAGGGACTAAATATGCCAAGAAATATTTTTAAGACTTCCTCGACAAAGCTACTTTTCGCTAGTTGAACAGAATTTAAGGAGCATGCAAAACAGAAGAATAAATGAGACAAGCCAACTTTCAACCCACAAAAGGTTTTCCATTGATACATTTTCAACACTTCAATAAACTAGAACTATCAATTTATTTGCTTTTGTGAATATAGATTTTAAAATACACAGTTTATGAAAAAGTGTGGCGCAATGTCAAAGATGCAAACAACTGCACAATGTGTTGGGAGTCGACAAAGCATGCACATGGGGAAATCACTTTTAAAACTGAAAGAATGTTTCAAAACATTATTAGTCTGGTTTAAGTTCAGATGCAACACCAAACCATACTTCAGCCTTTTGAGAAAGAACCATATTGAGAGTTGGGTTTATGCAGTCTCCTTTCCTAGCATGACCATGAAGAGGTTTTTGTTTTCATCCTAGATCAGTCACAACATGCCATTTTGTCCAGACCTGGGCAAGCCACAATTAATCTTAGATACAGTTTGTTAGAACGAGACAACTTCCTCACAGCCTCACTTGCTACAACAGTTTTCTTCTGTAAGAACAGGTCTCCTCCAGACCTGCCAAACTGCAGAATCCAAACCTCAGCCAACATGCTAAAGGGATGATGATGATGCTAAAGGGATAATGATGGGACAAACATATGGAGGGTATCAGGATGGGGAAGGATAAATTAACTTTAGAGCAGAATGCAGCTACTGTGGTACAGCAGTGGAGATCTGCTGTTCAAAGCACTAGGGTGTGATGACAGCTGCATATGTCTGTGTCCTTGGGCGCACCTAAAGTACATGCTCATATTTCAGCCAATATCTCTACATTTATCTCTTTCAAAAATTTATTAATAAACCAATGATGCTGTCCTCCACAAAATATATAGACTTGCCTGATGTAGCAAGATATATAGAAACAGAAACAGAGTGAGTCAGAAGGGGTCTCCCGGGCAATCTAGTCTGACCCCCAGCTCCAGCCAGCTCCACTCACAACATGCCCACCATGTCAGCCTATCTTTGAAAACCCTCACCAATGGGGCCTCAACGACCTCCCGTGGAAGCCCATTCCACACCCTCAGGGTCCTAACCGTCAGGAAGTGCTTCCTGGCATCTAATTGGAACCTTGGTTCCCTGAGCTTTGCTCCGTTGGAGCACATCCTGCCTTCCTCTGCAGGGGAGAACAGGTCTCTACCCATCTCCATGTGACATCCCCTCACATACCTGTATGTCGCCAACATATGCCCTCTGAGTCTCCTCTTCTCCAGGCTGAAGAGACCCAGTTCCCTCAGCCTTGCCTCATATGGCATCCCCTGCAAACCGCCCACCAACCTTGTGGCCCTACATTGCACTGACTCTAACCTGGCTATATCCTTCTTGTAATGAGAGGCCCAAAACTGAGCACAATACTCCAGTTGCGGGCGCACCAGAGTCGTATACATTAACATCCAGTAGAATTTACAATTTAAATCAGCTACTAATTAACTTAAAAATGAGCAAAGATATAGGCTACCAGGCATTGAAAATTTCTCCCTCAAATTGGGTAGTATCCAACAGGGATGCTCCATCTCCACTGGTTCTATTGCCGCTAGGAGACCCATGGCTCAAAGACAGGATGTGGGCACTTCTAATATTAACCCCAAAATACTTGTCTCCCAGCTGGGGCAGTTCAGCAGAGCTTCCCTTCTACAAGCTGTGTTGACTGTTCTGCTCTGAAAAATACCATTTTTCCCATTTCATATATTCAGGTAATGTCAAAATCCAGCTCCAGAACCAGTGCAGCAGAGGAACAGAGGCCCTGTTGGATATTGGCTCAAGTGTGTATGTTCCTCTAGATATAAATAACAAAAAAGACTGCTCAACAATTAGTGTTCTGTTATGGCAGAAAGTATACTGTGAAAACAACATATGCAAAACTTGAGGATAATTGTTCAATGTAATATTTTAAAAGTCATAATACATAATGAAATACAGTAGTACCTCGGCTCATGAATGCCTTGGTTCATGACCAAATTGGGTCGCGAACAAAAATGTCATGAAGATTTTGATGTGGGTCACAAACTCCACATTGGATGGTGAGCAGGATCACAGCCATCTCCCCACCCCTCGAGTGGGGAGATGGCCATGATTGCAGTTGCGTTCATGCAGGGAAGACGTGCATGATCACGGGTGTGCTCCTGCAGGAAAGACAGGCACAATCTCAGCCATTTCTCCCTCACCCCAACCAGCATGATCGCAGCCATCTCTCCACCCTCCCAAGTCCCCCAAGTGGGGAGATGTGCTGGAGGCGGGGGGAGATGGCCAAGATCGTGCCCGTCTCTCCCTCCCCCAGCACACCCTGTTTGCACCCGTCTCTCCCTCCCCCAGAGTGCCACGTTCACACCCGTCTCTCTCTCCCCCAGTGTGCCTGCGATTGCACCTGTCCCCCCCCCCCCAGTGCGCCGGGATGACGGGCGCGTGCAGGGATGATGGGCGCAGGGATGACAGGCACAATCTTGGTCGTGCTGGGGGGGGGGGAGATGGCTGCGCTTGTGTTCAGGGTGGAGAGGGGGAGATGGCGTGATCTTTGTTGTTGTCACCTTGCTTTTCTGATTAAAAAAATGGTTACAGAACGGATTAACCTTATTTACATTGAATCTTATGGGGAAATTTAACTTGACTCACGACCAATTTGGGTCATGACCAGAGTCCTGGAACGGATTAAGTTTGTGAGCCAAGGTACCATTGTATTATGCAATTATTTAATGTAATATTATATAATACAATATTTAAAATAAATGCAGACTACAATGCTAAAATTTGCAATTTTGCATTAATATATTACTGGAATTCAAAATGCCTTATAAGAGCTAAGATCCTAGGATAACTTGGTCCATTTCAGGAACAAAAATATTTTCCATGTGGCACGGTTATAACATGCAGCTACCAAAGGCAATAACATCTGATCCAAGGCATGTTTGCAAACGCTGCTCTACTGTTAGTGATTCTTGAAAGAGAGGTGGCATCTATTTTAGCTGCATAGCTCACATGTATTGATCTTGGGAAGCAGCACTTATAAACATGGAAACACTGGATCATATATTACTGCAAGAAAGATCTGCAAGTCTCTGGATGCCATAAGCAACTAAGTATGCAGAATTTTTGCAGCTATTATGGTGTGGAGCTTTCGCTGCCGTAACTGCCCTAAGGTCAAATCCAACCTTCCCTATACCAGAAGCCAGCAGGGCCAGTGGTTTAATGTCCACCTTGTCCCATGCAAGGAGCTAGTAAGGGTTCTTTACGTGGAGAGGGTATAGCTCAGTGGTAGGAGTACATCCTTTGCATGTAAGAAGACTGGAATGGGTCTCCAGTAGCAGAGCTGGGCCAGAACTCTGCTCAGGTGGTGGAGGGCAATAGGCAATCAGAATATATTATGTTGGGCCAGATGGACCAACAACCTGATTGGCTGTTGTATTAAGATGAGTATATAACATCATCTGAATTTCTCTTCTGGGTTTGTTTCACTGCCCACTTTTCCTCTAGACTTTCTTGGAAAGGGGATCAGCATCATAGACCAGCACCCCTTTTAACACTTTTTTAAAAGAGAAACCTGAAAAGACAAGATAACATTTACCTCAATAAGCCATGGTTTAAGCTTATCGTCAATGATGATGTCGTAGCCATAACACTCAAAGCAGTGCTTATCATTGTTCATTACAGGCTGAAAGAATTGAAAGCAGACATTTGAAGAAAAGGAATATGATTTTCAGCACATGTAAGAAGTAATAGAGTGCAGACTGCTTAAATAATTTGAAGGCCATTTCAGATATGAACTCCCTACTTTATTAGGTAGCTGTTGGTGCAGTAGGAAACACTTGTAGGCCACAGCTTTCCCCAGCAATTGAGACCAACAATCATATTGTAGGCTATGAACAGGGATCTATTCTGGCTGCCTTTGGTACCCAACTATTGTTTCTGGCAGCCACCAATATTGCCTCTCCTGTTCTACCCACAAAGGACACAAGGGAAAGGAAGAAAGTGGGTCTCATGTGGCACAATACTAAGCTGGGAAATAATTGGAAGCAGCAAAATTTCACACAGCTTCCAAACAAAGCTTAGTGCAAAGTCAGACACAAGACCCTGCCCAAGTCTCACTTTGTGTTGAGGCTCAAAAATACAGCCACCTGATTACCACATTAATGGACTACTGCTGATGAGGAAAACCAAAGTAATAATTTTAAGAAAGTATTTGGCAACCATACTCAAAACAGAAATAAACTTTTTAATTCTTATTAGTTTAGAAAAACTGCTTTACACTTTCAAATAAATTGCATAAACCTTATGTGGAACTCAACTCAAAATAAGCATCAAGAAAAGAAATCACAATAGTCAAGAATTAGTCAAAGGTCTTAAAAAGGTTTTCTTGGATACATGTATAGAACAATTAAGTAACAAATATATATCTTATATTCAATAATGTACTATTGAAGATCATCTGAATGACCTTTTCTATTTTCAGTTAACTGAAAAAGTGCATTAAAGCCTACTTTTCATTACTGGGAATGCGTTTCTCTACTCACTGCAACAGCCTTCAGTGACTGCACAATTATCCAGTGTATTTCATCAAACAGCTTGTTGGTGACCTCTTTCCCTCGAGTGCTTTCTAGATACAAACGCAGATTGCTCACTGTCCATTTGCCACCATGGATGTGATTGTAATCATCCTAACAGAGGGACAGCATCAAATCAAAATCTACAGATCCTGCATCACTTGCAAACATTCATTAGGGACATACTGTGGACTTGCAAACTCATTCCTCCCCTCACACATGTACCACTTCTCTGTCTCCAGTTCAGAGTAACCATTGCTTCCCATGCAGTGCAAATCAGGCAAACCAGTGACCATAGTTTAGCTCCAAACAGCATCAGAGTATGGGAGCATATTCCCACACTCTGTAGATTTCCATAGCACATTCCCAACATCCAATCAAAATCACCCTGCCTTTCTCTTTTGTTCCACTGTGGTTTGTTTGTTTGTTTTGTATTCAGCCCAAAAGATGAAACTCTCTGGGAATCCAACTTCCCGGCTGAATTACTGTAACACACTCTACGTGGGACTGGCGTTAGAGATGGTCCACATACTTCAATTGGTTCAGAACAGAGCTGCCAGATTGCTGCGAGGGGCCGGTCGCTATTCTCATATAACGCCTTTATCAGCTTCACTGGCTTCCAATTGAAGCCCGGGCCAAATTTAAGGTGCTGCTATTGACCTATAAAGCCCTAAACAGCTTGGGAGCAGGACACTTAATGCCTTTTTCCCTACATGCCCACTTTCCCCTTAATATCTGCAGCAGAGGCCCTGCTCCGGAAACCCTCCCTGAAGGAGGTTCAGAAAAAACATACTCAGAGGAGGGCCTTCTCTGCGGTGGTGCCCCGGCTGTGGAATGCACTCCCCCCAGAGAGGTCTGCCTGGCGCCAACATTATATGCTTTTCAGCGCCAGGTCAAGACCTTTTTAATCTTCCATACTGTTAATGTTTAAAATGTATAAGCATTTTAACTGTGCTTTTATGCTCAGTTTGTAGATCATTTATATTGTATTATTTGGGTATCTATGTATTTATGGGATTTGAACTGTACACCATCCTGAGACCCACTGGTATTGGAGTAAAAATTACCCAAATAAGTTCACAAAGCATCTATTTTTTAAAAAGATAGATTGCATAAAAACATATTTTAACATCATTAAATGTTGACAATACAAATTTTAAAACCACATATTAAACAGGTTAACACACACATACACGGTGGCCCAAATACAGTACTGATGGAAGACTTCACACAGTGGATATACTGAATATATCATTCAGTATATTCAGTGGATATATCATTTCACAAGTATTAATCGACACTGAAGCTAACCAGAATTTGTGTCAGTGTCGGGGACAGGTTCCAGGTATGTTGCAAACTGATGGAGGACATTTTGAGCACCTAAGAGACTAAGCATGACCCAATCAATACTGTATACCTACGTTTGACCCACCCTGTGTGTGTGTGTGTGTGTGTGCGTGCGCGTGTGCATAAAACCTAAAAGAAAGAAAAAGGGGGGGGGGAGAAAAAATTTCAGACCTGTTGCAGCTAGCAGGCCCCAGGAGCTACTTGACTGCCCTGCAGTAGGGGCGGTCTTTACCTGGCACCAAAAAGATAGTGAGGTTGGTGCTAGGCAGATCTCAGTGGGGAGCTCACTCAGGACTATGAGTTTATTTAATATACATATTATTATAGTACTGTCTTATTTGTATTCTGGAAAGGCAAAAAATCTACAGAATTCATGGGAAGAGTCAATCTCTAAGTTGTTCCTTGTTGGGGGCCTCCTGTAACCCAACTGCACATGCTGTATAACTGAAAGGTGCACAAAATGGCCCCTGACAATGCATAAGTATTGTAATTAGGGCATATAATATTTTAGATATGATTTCATTTCGGTGCTGTTAAAAATAGAAAAATATAATTTTAACAAGCACTTTGTTTAATTTAAAAAGGAGACAACACAAAAGAAAATATGGAGAACAGCATCTGCCAAGTCTTCCAACAGCATCCTTATTGAAACAGGGGAGAGCTTTTACACCACGTGTACATACTTTACTGAAGCTATTTTTCAGACCCTAACCCCTATCAGCACCCACATGGAAAGAAAAGGCTGTATTATTGAAATAAAGGATTTTAAAACAATAAGAGCAACTTTGAGGATCAGGCTGACCATGCATCTAAAATTTATATTCTAAATAAAGCAAAGGAATAATTGTTTTTAAATCAGAGTCAGCACTTGAAAAAGAAAATCAAACTAGCATCTTCACTTCTGTGAATGTATTTACATCTTTTTAGTGAAATGACATCGTATTTAACAGCTTTTTGTATCTCCCAAGTAATTTAAAAGAGGAATGACTTAACAATATTCAGTGTATTGGAATTCTAGTAGCAATATCGCTTTTAGTTTAATAGCTTTCCCTCCAAAAAGCTCATTATTGATTACAAGATAGCACATCTTGCCTTAAAACAAAAATTATACCACAAAGAGGTCCATGCTTACTCATCTTGCCATAAGGCCCCAAAAGCCTGTTTGTGTTCTCATTTAATAGCTTTCCTACATCATTAGGATTTCTGTTGTTTTTACCTTGAGATGTTAAGAATGGATACCTGCAAAGGGAGCTAATTTGTCATCCAAGATACCCTCTAATATGTATCCTATCAAAAAAGTAGAATTACACTAATATTCCATTGATTTTACTTGGACTTAACTGTGAATGTCTATTATAGGCATATTATAATTATTATACAGAAGTGCATAATAGCTCTTATGTGTCTGTCCCAATTCACTGTCTAAAAAAGCTTTGTAAATGCCTCCATCATCTTAGTAATAGCCCTCACTATTCCCTCAATTTTTTTATTCAGAAAATGCTAGGCAAATATGGTCATGCATCCCAGTTTTCACTGTGTGAATCAGGTTCCATTCTTTGTCTTCTCTTATTTAACAATACCAATGCAAAATACCTTTCTCTAAGTATATAATTCTGTCCAAAAATAGAAGATATATTTTGAGCATGTTCCTCCAGACCTTGGCGATGAAAAAAGACTGCCCCATTTAGCCATCATAAAAGTCTCTTGTATTTTACATTTTTAAAAGCATTTAACAGGGCAATACTACACACATCTACAGTGGTACCTCGGCTCAGGAACGGCTTGGTTCACGAACAAATCAGGTCACAAACAAAAATTTCTGAAAATTTTTGACTTGGGTCACAAACACCGCTTTGGGTGGTGACCAGGATCGCAGCTATTCCTCCTCCCCAGAGTGGGGAGATGGCCATGATCGCAGTTGCTTTTGTGCAGGGAAGGCGTCTGTGATCAGAAGCACACTGCTGCAGGAAAGATGGGAGCAGCAAAGCAGAGCCGCGGGGGAGATGGCCAAGATTCCGCCTGTCTTTCCTGCAGGAGCGCGCCTCTAATCAGGCACGCCTTCCCTGCACAAACAGAACTGGGATCGCGGCCATCTCCCCCCGCCCCCGAGTGGGGAGATGGCCACGATCACAGTTGCTTTCATGCAGGGAAGGCGTGCATGATCAGATCAGAGGCGCGCTCCTGTGGGAAAGACGGGTGCAATCTCTACCATCTTCCCCGCCAAGCAGCACGATCGCGCCGATCTCTCCCTCCCCCAGTGCGCCATTTGTGCCCGTCTCTTCCTCCCCCAGTGCACACGCGATCATGCCCATCTCTCCCCACCAGCCCCCAGCGCGCTGGGATGATGGGCGCATGCTGGGATGACAAGCACGATCTTGGTCGTGCTGGGGGAGGGGCGGCGGGAAGATGGCCGTGCTTGTGCTTGGGGTGGAGAAGGGGAGATGGCCGCGATCTTTGTTGTTGTCACCTTGCTTTTCTGATTTAAAAAATGGTTACAGAATGGATTAACCTTATTTACACTGAACCTTATGGGGAAATTTAACTTGGCTCACAACCAATTTGGGTCACGACCAAAGTCCTGGAACGGATTAAGTTCGTGAGTCAAAGTTAATCCGTTTACTGTACTCAGAAGTAAATATCATTCAGCTCAATGGGATGTACTCCCAGTTAAGCAATTCTAGGACAGCAGTCTAAATGTTTTGAACTAGAATTAGGAGAAATCAAAAGCAGACGTAAATATGATTGAGTCAGCATTTTAGTTAGATCTATTCAAAAATAATTTAGATTCATAAAAGAATTCAACTTACCCCATGTTTCTGAATAGCAACATTTGTAAGATGCACAAACATGTTGTCTAATTCACTTGTACTTGGCGTATATTTTACTGTGCAAAACCGACAAAACCCAAGCTTATACCTTAAATGCAAAAGGAAAAGGAGAAGATGATTAACATCCAGCTTTAAAACTCTTAAAGAAACAGCTGTCTTGATCGTGGCCTCCCCAGGGAGGCTAACCTGGCATCCACCTTGGTATCTTTTCAGCCCAGATGAATACCGTTTTGTGTTGCTGTTTTTAAATCATTGTGATATTGTTTTAATGTTGCTTTCTATTGCTATTTTATTGCACTGTTTCTGCATGGTACTTTATTGTTTTAACTTCTAAGATGCTATGAAACACTAATAGTGAAATGCAGCAAATCAGTTCTTTAAAGAAAGCACAACAAACCAAACATTTTTAGATCCAATAAATTAACCTTCCTCAACTGGATGCCCTCCAGATATGTTGGAATGCAGCTTCCATTATCCCCAGCCAGCACATCCATCAACCATTCTGGCTAAGTATGTGTGTGATCCAACACATCTGAAAGGCAAGAGAAGGCTGCAAAAATGGATATAGTGAACAGGATATAGTTAACAAGGAAAGGTAACTCAAATTAATTGTAATGTCACAGGTCCATCTTGAAAACAGAAGTAGTCTTTACGGCATCCTGGATCCTCTTAGCCATCTGACAGCAGTTTAACTTGGAGTCCTACACTGATCAGTGGGACTGAACCCAATAGCTATCTTGGTCCCTTCCAACTCTACTATTCTAAGATTCTATTAGATTTTTCTTTCTGATTTCATCATGGGAAACAGTTGTGTATTTCAGGAATTTACCAAAAAAGAGCACTGAACAATAATAGCCAATAATCAAAACACATTCACAACAAACTTAAAGCAAGAATGTAAGCCAAAGCTAACAATTGATACATGATATTAAACAGAATTTTAAAAAGAATCAAATGCTTGTTTAAAGCAAAAGGTCTTCTATACACACACACACACACCCAGTCCATAAATTATGATGGGGACACACATAAATGTGTGCACTGCCTCCTGATCTCTTGCTACTTCTGCTTTGTATTCATTTTAACAAACAGGTTGGTTTAGTAAACAATTCTAGTTCACTTGCTGCAATATCTGAATCCAAAACTCAAGAATGCCAAGGGAGAAACAACCCAGAATTATTACTATTTTTATATTTCTATACTGTCCATAGCCAAAGCACTCTAGATGGTTCACAAGAATCACAGAATTGTTTTATTACAAAAAAATCTAATAAATAAACTGTTGGAAAAGCCATTGGGTCCAACCCCTTGCTCAATGCTGGACTAACCAGGCCTGAGCCTTCTTAGCTTCCAAAATTAGGCAGAAACAGGCACTTCAGGCTATATGGAAGTACTGTCAGCCATGGTTGGTTGTTTCTAGATATAACCAGATTATTTTTTTAAAAAGAGTGTCGATCTGTCACATTTCAGAATTCTTCGTATCGCTTGCAAAAGTTAGGTATATTTAAAAACAATTTCCCACAATTCTGGATTAACATTATTCTCCATCTCCTTTATTGCCTGAATTAGAAAAGGAGACTTATCAGAAACAGAAGGAAAAAGACCAACTTACATGTAACACCTCAGAGGACGGTAAGTTGAAACTAATACATACAAACGCAGGTCAAATTTCTTCCCACCAATCAGTAATGGATTATTGATATAGAGAGAAATCACATATGCTTCTTTAGATGACTGAGACACAAACCTAGGTAAAAATATATTTTATTATTTGAAATGTGCCAGTTGCATTGAACAATTTTCTTTTGCTTTTAAAACTAGCCAGAGAAAAGTAATAAAAGTAACTCCAATTACATCAGGGCCAAGAAATCATTTTCAGCTCAAGTGCCATATTCACTTGTTCGTAACTAGGAGACATGCTGCCAGCAGTGGGGGGTTTCCCTAGCAACATTCTGAAACAAGGGTTGCATGACATCCTAAGCCACAGGGATAGGGGATAGCCCCTCTGGCCTAAGGACTGTAGTTGACGACAGCTGACAAAGCACCTGTGGGGCTGCCCTTAATGGTTCTGAAGATGCAGCTTGTGCAGAATGCAGCACCAAGATTAATTGAGACCTGTATATGCAAACATATAAGAGCCATTCTGGCCCACCTGCATTGGCTGCCTGTATGCTTGCATGTCCAATTCAAGGTACTGGTTTTAACCTATAATGCTTTACAAAGATTGAAGTGCCTCTTCCAGCCAAGATACACTTGAACACTATGCTCAGTCTCTGGGGCTTTCGTCTGAGTGCCTACTCCAAAGGAGGCTCAGAGGGTGGCAGCAAGGGGGAAGGCTTTCTTGGTGGCAGCCTCCCATTGTGTAAAACTATCTCCCCATTACAGACCACATGGTGCCACAATTGTTATCTTTTCTGCACTAGGTTAAGACTGCCCTTTATGCTGAAGCCTTTAAAGGCTTACTTGGACACCTAGAGGCCTGAGGGAATCAACATCCCAAATGTTTTTACAGATGCATACTCTGTTACAGTTGTTAGCAGTTTTAAACTTCTTAAAAAAATGAAATTAACACTATAGCGACCACTGTCATCCCTACCCTCCCTTCAGTGCCCCTTGGAGGACTCCGTGGGAGGAGGGGAGAAGGTTTCTCAGTACCCCACTGTGCCCAAATGTTAGCCCTGAAAGTTGTGCCAGGCACCTTGATCATCCAGACCTGCCCAGTACCTCCAATTCCATTTTCCCATTCTCTCTCCTCCCTCTTCCTGCCACCTCCCCTGAGTTGTGGAATGGAGTGATGCAATTTTCCTGAATTGCTAGGCTGATGCATTCCTATGCTGTGTGAACAGAAACATGCTATGCGATTATATATATATATATTTAGAAACTAACGTTGAGGTTTTGCTGTCCCGGGACCATTTTTTAATTTGTGAAAGTTTATTAATAAGGAATATTCCTTTCCCTTGAGCTTTTCCACAGGGTTTCATAATCCAGGTACTGGAAGGGTTTTTCCGGAATTCCTCAACAAATAAATTATAATCAGCTGGAAGCATAAAGGTGACAGGAACAAAGTCTAAACAGGAACAAGGAAAAGCGGAGTTGAGACAGCATATTAAATTCAGTACCTATGTCAATAAATCAAACAGAAGAAAAGCATGCCTCTCTTCACTGAGTCTCCATTTCTATCTTTTTAAAATTTTAATCAAAATGATGACAGCCATCAGGCTCATCTTTTCATCAATGTCTGAACTCCATTTTAATTTGTGAGTAACAAGAGGCTTGGGTAATTCAGTTTAATTCAGTTAATCCACAGTGGAAGAATAAACATTTTTGGTTCACCATAAGCTAAAAATACCTATAGAATGTTCTGTGTTCTATTCTTCACAGTGTATTGAAAGTCTGCATAAACCTTATGGGCTGCTATTTTCAAATGTTACATTTTCTGTCTTTATGGTGCACAAATGTTCAGGACTGAAAGTATTATGGAAAGAGTCCAGTTGTATAATTGTGTAGTGAAAGGGCAAGTAACTGTACAATCCTAAGTAAACGTACGCAGAAACAAATCAAAGGGGGTTAAGATAAATAGACATTTAAAATCAGACTTCAAGTTTCACAACAGATGGCATTGTCAAGGCAGTGTGTGTTTTCATACTCTTGGAGTCCTTCTGCCATACTAGCCTCTCAAAGTCTGGGACCAGTTACAGCCTCTCCACTGAAAGTCCTTCATTGAGGCTTAACAGTTGTGTTACCTATATGCATGCATTTTATTTCCCGAGTCCTTTTATGTTTCTATTCTGCTGGCATGGTAAACCAAATTTATACAGGGATCATACTGCATGCTAGTTATGCGTTCCCCGAGCTATGGGGCACGGGTAGCCCAGCGGGTTAACCTGCTGAGCCGCTGTGCCGTTGATCTGAAGGTCGGCAGTTCAAACCCACATTACAGGGTGAATGCTCTCTGCTTTGTCCCAGCTCTTGCCTACCTAGCAATTTTAAAAAATGCATGAAAATGCAAATAGGTACCACTTTGTTGGGAAACTTAACAGCATTCTGTGCACTTTGGCATTTAGTCATGCTGGCCTCATGACCACGGAAGTGTCTTTGGACAATGCTCATTCTTCAGCTTACAAACAGAAATGAGCACCGGCTCCAGAATCAGACACAACTAGCACTTATGTGTGGGGGAGCATCTACCTTTTTGTTACATACTGAATGGGGCCAAATTTTAGCTGTGGCTGTAAGTCAACAATTACCATCCTTTCTACTCAGTCACATTTTTTTAGACCTTAGTTAAAATTCATTGTAGAGTCTTCTAATCTAATGTATTTTATAGATTTGTTTGTTATGGACTGCAGACCAAAATCAATGGATTCCTTGAGTGACATACTAAGAAGTCCCAATTGACTAAAAAACCTCACCTAAATAAAGGTATTTTCCATTTTCATCTTTCTCTGCAAGAGGACTACTTTCTTTTTCTAGTTCTTTCCTGTATCTCTTGATATTTTTTACCATTAAGTCCTTTCGGGTAAGCTCATAATGGTTTGGGAAATGGTTGACAATCTGATCATCGGAGAGGCGGTAACCAGTTTCCACACTGAAAACATTACGAATAGTTTGCACACTCATCCTGTGAAAAGAAAATTGGTACTTAGTTTCAACAAAAAGACAATTTGCAATTTAATTTTTTAAAAATTGGCCCTTTGGTTGAATAGAAGAAAAATTGAGCAGATGACTTTCACAGGTCTATAAAGCATTTTGTTTCACTTTTCTCACTACTCTTTAACCAATAACTTTTAGTTTGCAGAAAACATACAGTGGTACCTTGGCTCACAAAACCTCAGTTTACAACCAAACTGGATTGCAAACAAAAATTTCATAAAAATTTTTACTTGGGTCGCGAATTCCGCATTGGGTGACAGCCACAATCGCAACCATCTCCCCCCCCCCCCCGGGAGTGGGGAGATGGCTGCGATAGTGTTGGAGGCGGGGGAAGATGGCCGAGATCGCGCCAGTCTTTCCTGCAGGAGCGTGCCCGTGATTGCGCCCATCGTTCTTGCAGGAGCACAACTGCAATCTCAGCCATCTCTTTCCCCCAACAGCATGATCGTGCCCATCTCCCCCACTCCAGCACGCCGAGATGATGGGCATGTGCAGGGATGACAGGCACGATTGCAGTTGTGCTGGGGGGGTGGGGAGATGGCCATGCTTGTGCTCAGGGTGTGGGGGAGGAGATGGCCGCAATCTTTGTTGCTCTTTGTCACTTTGCTCTACATTTTTCTAATAAAAAAAAATAGTTATGGAACGGATTGACCTTTATATACGTTGAACCTTATGGGGAAATTTAACTTGGCTCATGACCAATTTGGGTCATGACCAGAGTCCTGGAATGGATTAAGTTCGTGAGCCAAGGTACCACTGTATTTCTGTTTGAAGATTAAACTAGATTAAACTGCATTTCAATGTAGATAATACAGAGGTGTTTGGAAATGGAAAATTGCTAATCTAGTTAGATTCACCCTCAGGAGCCAGTTTCACTGTCGTTGCATATGGATGCATAGGTGTACTGGTGACCAGGGGAGAGAAAGAAAGAATGTGTGTGTTGTTTTATCAGCACAAATTGATTTGTCTGCTGCAGCCCTATGAAGAGAAAGGTGACCTTGCCTCAGTGGCATGCAATTTGGTTAAATTCAGCCCAGTTTACTGTAATGTACTCTCCATCAAGTTGTTTTTCAAGATGTTTCAGAAACTGCAATTCATTTAGAACCATAGCAACTAGAATGCTTACGGGATCAGACTACTTTACATCAGTACTGTACCAGTAATACTGGCTGCCTATTTGTTTCTGCCTCCAGTTTAAAGTGCTACCATTGGGCTTTAGAGCCCTGACATATAAGGACCACCTGTAGCTTTAAGATCTTCATCAAAGACCCTGCTCTTTAGCCCACCTAAGAAAGTTATTTGATTAATGGATACATGAGCAGGGCCTTTTTGGTGATTATCCTGCATTTTCTGAATGCCATCATCATTTCCAGGCATCAAGAAGCACTTGAATATATTTTTATTCCAATTTGTGTTTGACTAATTTTAATGTACTATACTTTCAAACCAACTGGCTGTTATAGCTTTGAAATGCATGATGTTGTAGGGCAGTGGTGGCAAACCTATGGCATGTGTGCCGCAGTGGACATGCAGAGCCCTCTCTGTCAGCACGCGAGCCAAGCTGCCCCAGCATCACCCCAGCAGCTGAGCATCAGGTAACATAGGGGCCATGCTCATGCTTGGAAAGGAGTAGTGGCACCAGGCGATGATGTCACAAGCCGCGACTCATTAGCCACGACTCGTCCGAGCTTTCGCATGACCGGTCAGTGCACTGCCAAGGATATCTATAAAACAGTATATATTTGTCTATCCCAAACACGTGACGACAGACTCCAGCGGATTAAGCAGATGAGACCTACTAGAATAGGACCAACGGTCATGAAGGCGGTTTCTGCAAGTGACGTGATACGCTAAGAGCACGGCAAGACATGAAGACGCCCTGGTCAGCCACTGAGCCCAGCCCATCTCCAACCATCTCGACTCTTGTCCTGCCATTGGAGCAAGATGGAATCTGGGAAGAGAGAGTGAGGCTGACTATGCGTACCTCTCCCTCACTTTAATCCAATCCACACGCAAGTCTTGACATCCCCAACTCCTGCAAACCTCAAAGTCCTGTGGCGATGGGCGAGCAATGAAGCAGCAGGTGTGGATACACTGGGAACTGTAGCCGCGGACCTGCACACAGGCGGCTCAGGTCTAACGGTCGTCCTCTTGCTGACTGAAGCAACAGCTGGATTCGGCACCTTAGGACTGCACTGCTCACCTCCGTAGAAAGAGGAAGAGGCTAGAAAAGGTGCCCTAAACATTGTTTGCTTCACAGCACCCTGGCCAGCTTACCATGGCTGCAGGGGATCCCATCTCATGCGGTTGAACAACAAAACTTCAAACAAAACGCAAGGTAACACCACTCACTATTGGCACATGGAACGTACACACGCTTCAGCAGATCGACCAGAAAGAAGAACAGCCTTGGTCGCCAGAGAGCTCGCAAGATTTAACATAGATATTGCAGCCCTGTGTGAAACTCGCCTAGCCAACGAAGGTCAGCTCACAGAAACAGGAGGCGGTTACACATTCTTCTGGTGTGGACGCAGCAGTGACGAATGTCGTGAATCTGGAGTTGGCTTTGCGGTTAAGAATCATCTTGTCTGCACACTTGCCAGTCTTCCCAAGGGCGTGAACAATCGACTCATGACATTGCATCTCTCACTACTGAGAAGAAAGCAAGCCACACTATTCAGTGCCTACGCACCCACAATGACGAATCTGGAGGAAGTAAAGAACAAGTTTTATGAAGATCTTGATGCCCTATTCTCATCCGTGAAGTGCACCAACAGGCTGATTCTACTTGGTGACTTCAATGCGAGAGTAGGATCTGATCACTCTGTCTGGGATGGCGTTATTGGAAAAAATGGAATCGGCAAATGTAACAGCAATGGCCTACTACTATTGAAGACATGTGCGGCTCATGGTTTGATCATCACCAATACCATCTTCCGCCTGTCCACTCACAAAAAGATGTCCTGGATGCACCCACACTCCAAGCACTGGCATCTCATTGATTATGTCATCGTCCGGAGGAAAGACAGACAGGATGTAAGGGTGACCAAGGCTATGCCGAGTGCTGACTGTTGGACTGACCATAGACTCATCATCTCCAAATTCAGTCTTCACATCAAGCCAAAGAGACGTCCACAGGGAAACAAAGCTGTGATGAAAAAGATCAACGTCAGTAAACTGAGGAACCCCAGTATAGCAGCTTCACTAGCAGAAGATCTTGACAACCAACTCTTCGAGCTGCAATTAGAGGAAAATGCTGAGAAGGACTGGGAACGCTTCCGGGATATTGTGCACTCTTCTGCATTAAAGGTTCTTGGACCCTCACACAGGAAACAGCAGAACTGGTTTGATGAAAACAATGAAGAGATCAAGGCCCTACTTGCTGAAAAGCATCGCCTTCACCGTGCTCATCAGAACGACCCGTCGTCAACAGCTAAGAAAAATTCCTTCAACACTCGCAGGACCATTCAAAGCAAGCTTCGCAAGATGGAGGACTCAGATGGTGGAACTCTCATTACTGAGAAGACTCTGATTCTACAGTGCTGGGCTGAGCATTTCCAATCTGTACTGAACCACCCATCCTTCAACAATAACGAGGCAATTGACAGAATGCCCGAGGCGGATATCAACCACAGCCTGGAAGTCCCACCATCAGAGACTGAAATCCTACAGGCCATCAGCCAGCTGTCCAGTGACAAGGCCCCAGGATCTGAAGCAATCCCAGCAAAAGTCTATAAGAAAGGTGCTGCAATGCTTGTCAACAAACTCACTCAGCTGTTCCAGTCCTTCTGGAATCAAGGATCTATTCCTCAGAAAGTGAAAGACGTGTCCACTGTACACCTCTACAAGGGGAAAGGAAATCGACAAGTCTGCGATAATCATAGAGGAATATCACTGCTTTCCATCGCAGGCAAGATCCTTGCACGTGTGTTCCTGAATCGCCTGACTGACCACCTGGAAAAGGGTCTACTACCTGAGACACAGTGCAGCTTCCGCAAAGAGTGTGGCACTGCGGACATGATCTTCGCAGCCCGACAGCTCCAAGAGAAGTGTGAAGAGCAGAATCGTGAACTGTATACAATCTTCGTGGATCTCACCAAGGCTTTTGACACTGTCAGTCGCGAAGGTCTGTGGCGTATCATGTCGAAGTTTGGGTACCCTGACAGATTCATCCTGATGGTATGTCAGTTCCATGACGGCATGACAGCTCGTGTTTTGGGTGACGGAGAAGCTTCAGAGGTCTTTCTCGTCACAAACGACGTTAAGCAAGGGTGCGTGCTGGCACCAACCCTGTTCAGCATAATGTTTTCAGCCATGCTGTCAGACACCTTTCAGAACAGTTCTTTGGGAGTCAGCCTGAGATACAGGACCGATGGGAAACTGTTCAACCTGCGAAGACTCCAGGCTGTCACCAAGATAAAGGAGACTGTGCTACAAGACCTCCTTTTTGCTGACGACTGTGCCCTGAATGCTGGATCAGAGCAGGAAATGCAAGCCAGCATGGACAAATTTGCAGCAGCATGCAACAACATTGGCCTCCTCATCAACACAAAGAAAACCAAAGTGATGCACCAGCCAGCTCCGAAAGCCCAACACCAAGAGCGCACCATCACAGTGAAGGGACAAAAGCTGCAAGTAGTAGACCAATTTACATACCTTGGCAGCACCCTCTCCCGCGCAGTGACAATTGACATCAAGGTCAACTGCAGAATTGCTAAGGCAAGCTCTGAATTCGGCAGACTGCTGACCAAAGTGTGGGACCGCTGTGGAATAAGCCTTGCTACAAAGCTTAAAGTCTACCGAGCAGTAGTGCTAACTACCCTGATGTATGCCAGTGAGACTTGGACTGTATACAGGAGGCACGCTAGGCCACTGAACCACTTCCACACGACTTGCCTCCGCAGACTTCTGAGGATCCGGTGGCAGGACAAGGTGCCAGACACAGAAGTCCTCTCCAGAGCAAGCCTGCTGTCAGTTCACACCCTGCTGATGAAAGCCCAGTCACGCTGGACAGGCCATGTTGCAAGGATGCCAGACCGTCGCATCCCCAAACAGCTCTTCTATGGTGAGCTGTCTCAAGGAAAGCGATCCCACAGGGGACAAAAGAAGCGATACAAAGACACGCTGAAAGCCTCTCTCAAGGCCCTTGTTATCAACAACACCTCCTGGAAGACCCTGGCACAAGACCAATCGACATGGCACATGCTGATCCACCAAGGGTGTCAAACATCTGAAGCTAGAAGGACAACCATAGCACAAGAGAAGCGAGCACTCCGTAAAGCCATAGCTGCAAATGCTGCAACAGTGGTGCCCACACATGTCTGCCCGACATGTGGCAGAACATTTTGTGCCTGTATGGGCCTTACCAGCCACCTGCGGACACACCGTGGACCGTCCACAACTTGTTAGATGTCAAGATCCTATTCGAAAATGATGGATGAACATCATCATCATGTATTTGCTTGGACTGGTTGTGAGTTGTTTTTTCTAAACTAAAACCTCAGTATTCAGGTTTTATTGCAGTGTGGGCACTTTGTGATAAATAAGTGGGTTTTGGGTTGCAGTTTGGGTACTCAGCCTCTAAAAGGTTCACCATCACTGTTCTAGGGTATCTTTGCTATTGTTGTTGTTAATATAACTGTCTTGTAAGGAAAATGACCCGTGAAAGGCAGATTAGAAATAATTTTAAAAACAATTAAATTATAATTGGTAGAGAAAACTCCAAAACTACCCATTTGGGAGATCCTCCCCCTTGCACATATTATTCATATTTTATTTATGTACATAGCTACTATTCAAAAAGGCATACAGACATTCTTTAAATGCCTGTAGATTGTTTCAGTACCTTGAAAACAAACTGGCTATTCTACATGCCAAGCTCTACTTTGCTATGGGATTACCGCAGTAGTTTACATTATACTGGCCACCACACAGAACAAATGTATTTAATGAAGTACAGATTTTGTAAAATGGTCTTGAAGTATGAAATGTAAACTACTGATGTTCTGAATCCTATTAGGTTACTTTTCTCATTCTTTGAAGTACACAAGAATCACCCAAGCATGCATTCAACATATTGTGACTACAGAGAGAAACAAAAATTCTTAAGCAAAACACACTCTTTAAAATTCAAAGTATAACCTATAAAGACCTATAAAGCCCTACACAGCTTGGGCCTGAGGACAGAATGCCTCTCCCAACCACCAATTACCTATATACTATAATTAAGAACTGGGCCTTGCCTCCAATTGCTACCTTCAAAGATGGCTCGGTTGGTGGCAATAAGGTGAAGGCCCTTTCCAGAGGTGCCTCCCAGTTATGGAACAAGGGTCCACTGAGGGCCATCTGGCACCAACTATTAATACCTTTTGGGGACTAAGTTAAGACTCTCCTCTACCGCATGGTATTTAATTAATTACTATTACATTGGGGCTTTGCTAGAGGGTAAACAGAGGCTAGAGGGTCTTATGGTTTAAACCAGGGGTCCTCAAACTTTTTCAATAGGGGGCCAGTTGAAAGGCAGCAGTGATCAGTGCAGGCCGGTGAGGCGGGGTGCCTGGGCATGCGGGCCGGTGAGGTGGCGGTGGGCACCCACGGCAGTGCCTTGCTCACTCAGAGATCTCCCAACGAGTCCAAAATCATCTCTGAGCGAGCAAGTCACTGCCTCCCTGCCCACGTGGTAAGCACACATGCGGGTGGTGGTGCAGACCAGATAAATGAGCATGGCAGGCCAGTCAACTACAGTGGACTGCAGTTTGAGGACCCATGGTTTAAGCTATTGTAGCTTTTTATATTTGTTTTAAATTTGGTTTTAAATTTGGTTTTAAATTTTGAATGATAAACCTTTGTGGTATTTTTATTGCTGTTTCCATTTAATATTGTATTACAATATCCTGTAAACAGCCCAGAGAGCTTCAGCTATCATGCAATACTGAAATAAAACAAACAAAATGCTATGGTTTAGGCAAATTGTGCACAGTTACATAAACAGAGCTATTTGTACAAATTTCCTTAGCATTTTAACAAATGCACAAACTATGACCTGTTTTAGAAGCAGAAGTCTGTGAGCTACCTCAACTTACATCATAGTGAGTCAGTGCCAGTACAGGGGTGGGTCCACTGGAATCAGCAGGGTTGATGCGTGAAAATCCATTGGATTTTCACTCCCCTCCACACACACACACACACACACACACACACACACACACACACACTAGGTTCCTTCTATATTTCTTCCCACAACTGGAGTGACACAACCAATTTAATCTGACACCATGTGCTGCAAGGAGGTTTATTTCCTGCTTTCTGCCTGAGATACTCGAGTCTGGCTTGTGCTGTCCTCACCACTGTCTGCCAAAGAGACCTCAGGCGATGCTGATTGTTTCTTCTGTGTTTCTCAAAATGTGATTTTCCTCTGAGAGATTATCTCAACATTATTAATAATATATCACTCTCCCATTTTAAGAAACGGATACATTTTCCAAAATGCAACTTACCAGTAGAAGTTCCAATCTTCATTTTCTGACACCTGAACCCACCCTCTCTTTTCAAAGTTGTTTATTAGCACGGATTTCTCTATGTCAGTCACCCACTTTACTTTTCCTGCCATTATCCTAAAACAAACAAGTTTATCAGAATTACTAACTTCATTTTCTTTTAAATTATTTTTATCTTGAATTAGTACGGGACAACCTAATACATGTTGTATATTGGCATTAATAGAGGGACAAGTTTAAAAGAAAATTGAATGTACATTCACACAAACCTAAACTTGAAACACATGTCCATTCCTCTGAGTACCTTAGAGTAATGTCAGTATTTTCAACATGACTTTGTATATTTCTCTCTGCGTAGAGACCTTTGAGTTGCCAACACTGTCTACTAGCTCATCTATGGGCTGGGGATATGATACAGGATGAATTTGTTTGAATGTATGGCCTTTCGAAAGCAGTTAACCAGGTACCATCTTTGCAATCTTTTTGGTGCCAGACAGAAACAGTCTTCTTCTTCAAACATTTTAACAATTGATTTTATATTAATTTATCATGTTATTTATACTGTTTTTAGTTTCAATATAAATTATTGATATTTAACCCCTCAGCTGTGCATTGTCTATTTTATTGTATGTTATTCTCATGTGTTTTAAAATCTGATGTTCTTTTTATGTGAAATGTTGTAATCCACTTAGAGAATCCTTAGACTAGTTAAGAGCAGAATATAAGTTGAATAAATAAATAAATAAATGTCACAACAATCCACTGTGTTAAAAAAGCTGCATTGGAGATGTTCTTTATTCAAGAACTCACAATGTTCGAACTCACAATGTTCCAACAGACAATCATGGTCATTGTGGGCTGCATTCGTAGGTCCCTGTGGGAAAAAAAGGGAATTCCTGCTCTCCCTTCACAAAAAACTTAAAAAAACCCCTAGCTGTCAAACCTTTGTGTTCCTGTAAAAAGGGCTGACACAGAGCCAGTGCTGGTTGTTCGACCATCCCACCTTTGGCATCAATAGGGTGGCTGGTACTGGCTAGTTCAACAAGAGTGGCAAGGAAGTTTTGCTGTTCTTGTCAAGCACCTTGCTACCTGGTCTCCAGAGTTCAAGCAACATGACAACCTATCATGGGTCCAATGACCGCACAAACAAGCCATGGTTTGTTGGATGGCTTATTGCCTGTGAACAAGCCATTCTGCTGGACAAGTTGTCATGACATCCAAACCCAGTTACTGTGAGTTTCCAGTGAATATACAAATGGCTTCCCACATTATAGGGGTGTTGCACTTTTTTGGTACTTTTAAATTCACAGTAATGGGTGCAATATATCCATTGGGTATGAAATATGATTCACTTGAGCAGTGAAAAAATGATCTTTTAAAAACAAAAAAACCAATAGGTATGCTATGTTATAGGACTTATTTACCAAAGTATAATTACTCAAATTCTATTCAGACTATTCCTTCTTTTTTAAGTATTCAGTGTGTGTTTGCAAAAATGGCAGTATGTGAAAAAGCAAAAGTGTGCTATAAAAATTTCTTTAATTAGCACTTTGGTATTTTTAATGTAAGTATTAATGCATTTAAGTTTTAGAGAGCACAAAATGAACAAACTAATCAGCTAAAACCTTAAAATGAAAATGCTACCTTGTATGCCTCTGAGTGCTTTTATAACAGAAAGATCAAATAAAATACTAAAATTTCAATGCCAAATTATACACATCTCTTATAAAAATATGTATTAGGAAATTGAAATGGAACAAATAAGAAGAGCATTTACAGGAAGTGGGCACAAAATATATAGGGATACCATTCATCTGCAAAACAGGGAATATCTTTGGAAAGTTAACAGTTTCCAAAGGAATAGCCATGTTATCATGTTGCAGCAAAAAACAAGATTGGAGCTCTTTTCCTGAGAGAAGTAACACAGTTCTCAAGTGGAAGAAAATGCCCCCAGGGCCTGCCTGGTAAGAAACATAGAAAACAGAGCGAGTCAGAAGGGGTCTCCCGGGCCATCCAGTCTGACCTCTGGCACCAGCCAGCTCCGCTCACGACATGTCCACCATGTGGACATCCAGCCTATCCTTGAACACCCGCACTGATGGGGCCTCAACGACCCCCCATGGAAGCCCATTCCACACCCTCGGGGTCCTGACTGTCAGGAAGTGCTTCCTGGCATCCAAACGAAACCTTGGCTCCCTGAGCTTTGCTCCGTTGAAGTGCGTTCTGCCTTCCTCTGCAGGGGAGAACAGGTCTCTACCCATCTCCATGTGACATCCCCTCACATACCTGTATGTCGCCAACCTATCCCCTCTGAATCTCCTCTTCTCCAGGCTGAAGAGACCCAGTTCCCTCAGTCTCGCCTCATACCCCATCCCCTGCAAACCAGCCACCAACCCTGTGGCCCTATGCTGCACTGACTCCAACCTGGCTATATCCTTTCTGTAATGAGGGGCCCAAAACTGAACACAACTGGAGTATTGTGTTCAGTTTTGGGCCCCTCATTACAGAAAGGA